GTGAGTTTTAGCAGCGGCTGAATAGGGGAAGCTGGGGGCAGAGCAGCTCCAATGGTCCGGCTGCCCGGAGCACTTCCGGGTTCCTGATAGTGCTGGACCATCGGAGTTTTACTGTAGTGAAATTTTTTTTATTATATTAAGATCAAATGTGCCTTACAGAATTGATTTAAATATTGTCTCTATTTAACACGACAGAATCTGAGGTACAGGTCTATGAAAGGTCACACTGAGAGTCAGTAGTGGAATTGGACTCTTCATCTTCTGACTTGAACCTCAGTCCTGAAAACTGCTCTGTAGAAGTGCCATTGCGGTCACTAAGGCTATCTACACTGCAAGCAAAAACAAGCCTCCTAGACAGATTTGTGCTTGTGCGACTCATACTAGCATGCTAAAAAACAAATGTGTGTGGACATTGTAGCACCAGTGGAGGCTCAGTTTAACCACCTGGGCACGTGCAGCTATTTTTAGCATGCTAGCAGAGGTTTGTCTACCCAGGCTGGAAGCCTCACTCAGGTTCAGTGTAGACATGCCTTAGGACATGGTGGGGAACCTAAGGTTTGTGTGTGACCCCAACTGTTTTTTATCTGTGTGTCAGTGGCCCTGACCCTAAAACGGTTACCCACCCTTGCCTTAGGATTCTGAATAAGTGCAGGAATCTTCCTACTGTGAAACAGACTGCAGAATCTCGGCCTTACGTTTGCTAACTGTTCTGCTTCTAATATGGAGCAACATCTTTTATTATGGACCTCATACCTCTATTTTAATAAGCAAATTTCATTATTGTAAAGATATAGCAGTTGAAATCTCACTATTTTTTCTCTTCTGCCATGTCTGAATTCTAAGAAGCATGTGATCATATTGAAGTATTATATCTGTAGATGCTTGGCAATTACTGCCAGACTCACATTATGAAACCATGAATATTTAGAATTATTAAAGTTGACTCTTCTAATGATGTTTGTTTGTTTGTTTTTACAGCTGGAAAAGCAGTTGTCATGCTGTCTTATGTACAAAAACAGATCCAAACGTTACTGTGTTTCAGAGTAAACTGTGCTGCAGCGTAGTGATATTTGATTACAAAATTATAGCTGTGCATATATTTCAAAATGAGCAAAAGAACAAGCAGTGACTCGCCTCTAGGGAGGTTAGTGAAGTCTTATAGAATGTATCTAGTATATGCAACACTTAATAGAACATGGCCACTCAACAAGGGTGTTGCCATAGGATACTGCTGGTATTTTTAAGTTCTTGTTAAAATTAATACTTTTGTTTGCATAGGAACTCTCATCCCAAAAGATCTTAAGATGCTTTACTGCTTCTACTGCCTGAATTGTCCATGGCTTTCAGGGATGTGAGAATCTCAGAAGGAAGTATGTACTTTGAACACAATACATCAGACTAGCTTATTGTAAAAGGGTGTGGCGGAGCAAAAGGCCAAAGTTATGCATTTAAGTGCAGCAGAGCAGCTTGAGCAACTGGTGAGCACCTGTTGATGAACTACTGATACACTTCTGCTCCTGATTTTTGACTTCTGACATGCCCTTCTATAAGAGGTTCCCGACTTGCGACACATTGGTTCCAGAGGAAGTGTTGCAAGTCAGAGGTGTCATAACTCGAACCTGCATTTACGGTAGGGGCCGAGCACCATCGTAAATGCAGCCCAAGGATATAAGTTGGGGGTTTAGAGCCCCTTCCGCACTTACAAAAATGGTTGTAAGTGCAGGGGGTCAGAACTTGGGCGGTCGCATCTCAGGGACCTCCTGTATTGCAATTGTGAACAACCTGCAGGAAGTTTGTGAGGTTTTAAATATAAACATATAAGACATAACTATAAGAATGGCCATACTGAGTGAGAGCTGCTGTCCAGCTAGTCTAGTATCCTGTCTGACAGTGTCCATTGCCAGATGCTTCAAAGGGAATGAGCAGAACAGGGCAATTATCAAGTGATCCCTCTTCTGTCAACCATTCCCAGCAACTGGCAGAGAAAGGACTTGGGACACTTATAGCTGAGGTGGTGGACTTACAGCCTGTGAGCCAGATCAAGCCCCTTGCTTAAATTCATCTGACCTGTGGCCAGACCCCACAATCTAGTAAGAGAACTGGCAGGTGAAGTGCAGTAAGCCCCCACGGCCAGACCATGCTCCCTGGCAGGAGCACTGGGCAGAGCAGGACAATCAGCCCTACTCACTCCTCCCTGACCCTGTTCCCTGGCAGGAGCACCAGGCAGGCAGAGTGGAACAATCTGCTCACCCGGACTCTCCTCCCTGGCAGGAGTGCCAGCTGGTATAATGAGCCAAGCCTCTGCACCCCAATTCCATTGCCCTTCAGGAGCGCCAAGCAGATAGAATGAGGTGAGCCCCTGACCTTACTCCCCAGCATGAGAGGAAGCCCACAGAACCATACTCCCTCCTCTGGGGAGGTGGGGCGGAGATGGCTCCCCACCCAGTTTTAATAGCCATGCTTTTTATTTGTGTGTGGCCCCAAATGACTTTTTCTCTGGATCAGTGGCCCCAGAAAGGGGGAAAAGGTTCCCCACCCATGACCTAGAGCATAGGATTGTCTCCCTGACCATCTTATCTTATAACCACTGAGCGACCTCCCTTCCATTAATTTACCTAATTTTTTTTTAATCCAGTTATAGTTTGGCCTTCACAGCTTCCCTGGCAGTGAGTTCCACAGATTGACTATGCATTGTGTGAAGAAACCCTTCTTTTTGTTTTCAGTCTGCTGCCTATTAATTTAATTGGTTATCACTGCTCCTTGTGTTATGTGTTTTCAAATTGGTGGGATTTCCTTTTCTAATTGCCAGAGCTATAGTGTATTTTGGAATCCCCATCATTACACTGAGGATCCCTGTATTTGTTCAAAGTGGCTCTTATCACCGGCACACTTATGTTTGTTTCCACTTCATCATTTAATCTGGTCAGCTGCATAATCAAACTAACTACAGTTAAATTACCTATCTTTTTGAGTCACCCAAAAGACAAAAGTCTGAGATGAATTTTGGTGGTGGAGTATGAATGGGACATGTGGAAAGTCATCTCTCCTATACAATATCAGTAATTATATCAATAACTTTGTTTCCATATAATGACAGATTGGTAATCACTGACTTCTCTATATGAGATTTAATATACAAATTAAGTAAAGGTGCCCAACTCACTGCAAGTCTTAAAAGAAACTCTCTCTTTGAATTCCAGTGCTTGATAGCTTTATAGAAATGTTTAGATATCCTTTTTCTTTCACAAAGTTGTTAGATCAAAGATGTGATATGTGGAGAGTCTCATTCGGGCTACTAGGATCTGTACTATCCCTATTGTAAAATCCACCATATCTATTATATTCTCATCAGAGACCAGAGAGTGTGGTCAAGAAGTCTAAATTCCTTTTTACCTCTGGGAGAGGCCTCTCCAGCTCAGGGTGGAAATTAGGGATGTAATACAGTAAACTTCCAATAATCCAGCACCTTTAGGACCCAGGGGGTGCCGGATTATCAGATATGCCGGACTATCGGAAGGGGGGGGCTACGACGGGTCTGGGGTGGAGTGGGGGGGAGATGTGCCCCTCGGCGCTGCGGTACCAACCCGGCAACACCCCCGCTGCTCTGCCCCAGGCGTCCCCAATTCAGCTGCTGCTGAAACTGACCAGCGGCTGACTCGGGGAAGCTGGGGGCAAAGCTGCTCCAATTGTTCAGCTGCCCGGAGCACTTCCGGGTTCCAGATGGTGCCGACCATCAGGAGTGCTGGACCATTGGATACCGGACCACTGGAGTTTTACTGTAGTATAGTTGGTTAATGCTATCGACTACATGCATTTTCCCCCTCCCTCCTACAGCCCTGTCAGTAAATTCTTTAGAGGGCTGGCCAGCAGCCTGGCTTAGTCCTGGCTTGCACCATGTCCTGGGAGCTAATCCTGCTGCAGCTCTGCGTAAAAAAAAGTTTGGCAACCAGCAGGCAGGCAGCCCAGCTCGCGCCAGGTCCTGAGAGCTACCCCCAGTGTGTGTCTGCATTAATACTTTTCCTGTAGAGCCACAGTGGGGTAGCTCCTGGGTCCCAGCATGACCCTGGACTGAGGCAGGCTGCCTCCCCGCTCGCCAGCTGCTAAAATACTCTTAGGCTGTGTCTACACTGGGCCACTTATTCCGGAAAATCAGCCGCTTTTCCGGAATAAGCTGCGAGCTGTCTACACTGGCCCTTGAATTTCTGGAAAAGCAACAATGCTCTACTGTACAAAATCAGCCGCTATTCCGGAAAAACTATTCTGCTCCCGCT